TAACTTGCGACTTTTGTATAATTCGTAACTTCATAAGGACCCTCATGACGTACTGTCACGTACTGCATCAGTTCTGATGCATACGTGGGTGCATGTCCTAAGATCTGAATAAACAAACAATGATTTTGTTCTCAAGTACGAGTAGCATTGTAAACACTTGAGTGTTTACTGCTCGTTGCATTGCTGCTCGTAGTCTCAATAGCACGGTGGGTAGTTCTCGCTCCATGACGCCTGACTGAGCCTAGCCATAAGTGCCGCTTTTAAGGTACGGTGCCAGCGTTCTATCATATCATTTGCTTGAAGGTGGTACGGGGTCGTTCTACGCTTTTTCATCAAATTAAGAAAAATATCGCTTTGAAATTGTCTACCTTGAGCGCTTGTTATCCTTTTAGGACTACTAAAGCGACGAATCCAGCCTTCATATAACACTTAGCGATTACGTCTGTAGTTATTGTTTGTACCGGAAAAGCCTCCGGCCACTTTTTAAATCTATCAGTTACTGTTACGCAATATCTATACCCCTCCTGAGTTGTTGGCAGTAGGCCAACGATGTTTATATTATGAAAGTGGACGAAACTTTCTCTATGCTGAAAAACTTCTACTTCTGAACTTCTATAGGGAAATCTTAGCACGTTGACATCCAACACATGCAACACCTTGCCCATAATCATATGTGCCCCTATTTATGCCTCGTCAAAAATACTTATGAGTTACCAATTTACGTGACAGCCGTACCTCCGGATGGCTAATATTATGTACTGAATCCAATACTTCGAAACTGCTCTAGTATATACGGCCTCATATTAGATTAACTGTAACTTCGGCCACGTATAATAATGACTCTTGACTTGATTTCTAAACTGTTGAACTGACATATTAGATTGCTAAAAATTCCCTATCTATTCTATATTTAACATAGTTATTATCTATATAAATAAAAATTAATTTCCGTTCGTTAGTCTCGCTAAAACTCGAGAACGGCTGAACCGATTTGGCTAATTTTGGTCTTAGAATGTTCGTGGAAGTCCAGGGAAGGTTTAAACGGTAAGAACAAAAAAATGTAAGCGGTACGAAGTTTGCCGGGTCAGCTAGTAAAAATATAAATTTTTAATGAAATCCTTGCCCTTATTTACCAATTTTCATAATATAATGAATGCTCATCGTGATTCCCAATCTGCATCTTCACGAATGCTTTTGCTTCATTTTAAAGCCATACAGACTTGTTGCAAACGTTAACCTCAAATTGTGTTAAGGATATTAACATTTGGCGGTTTTCCAAACGAACCATATGCTTCGCCAAACATTTTATGGTTGGTTTTAATATTTTTTATTAAGCGTCTTATTCATAGCTAATGAATTTTAATATTTGTATATACGTGTGTCAAGGAAGCGGTAGGTATTTATGTTAACGCGAGCTTTGCATCTCAAGATTCCGATTAATCAAACATAAATAAAATATAGTTTGATTTGTTCATCTTCTTAAACATAATATAATTCTATATGCTGTGTACCTATATATTATATTATTGTTTGCACGCCATATTGAGAATTTATATTCTACTTCCATATCGCAGTTATTGAAAAACTCGAGTTAGAATATTATTATGATGTTGTTTCCATAATTTTCTGTTTGTACCTGATTTTACTTGTAAACCTACTAGCATTCAAAACTCATTATATTCAATATATTTTGCTCTAATTAAATTGACCCAATTAAGAGCTAAGTGTGGGTTCACATGTCTACGGTCCAGAGTCAATGAGAGATTTTAACGAGCCACTGTCATTATTCAAATGTCCAGATTAAGGCAGTTTGATCGAGTTATTTTATATCAAAAGGAACGTCTGTGTCAAGAAAAAACATTAAAAAGCTTTTTCATAATACGAGTATTTTTGTAAGAAGGTCACAATAAAAGCAAATTCTTGAATTTACCTTGTCTTGTACCTGGTTACAAAGCAAGTACGTTCTATAAATTATGTGCTCAGTTTCCTTGAGTAAGGCAACTGACAGTCAGCGTGTAATCCTTGCGGGCACTGTAACTGTTCGCAACGTTACCTTTGTGGCGACATTTCCAGCTTTGTTTATTGTTAGACCCTCTTACATTGCTGGACCTTTTAAAGAATAAAGTAACATTTATTTTACAGATGAAATGCTATAACCCAGTTTTGTGCTTGCGACGTGAGCTTGATAACAAATGAGGATTTACTGTTCTTTTGATTCAGGATTTTTGATACCTTATCTGTCCTTAATATATTCAATAATTCACACCTTTTTCACATGACTGCCTCGTTTGCCGAGTGCGACTGCCGGGCAAGGTCTCTCGTTTTCGATTCCCGGGTCGGGCAAAGTTTTACGGGGTTTATTTAATTCTCATTCAGTAGTAGCATGGAGTCTGGAATTGTGCCCGGTATATGGCAATTGGCTAACCCCTTATTACATGGGATCCACAACATAAACAGTGAAAAGTGGGTGTTACATTGTACAGTGGCATTAAGTAATTAAAAGGCGTGATGCTATGTTATGTTGTTTTCACATAAATGTTTGATGAAACCAAGTTTATGTTTTTATTAAATCGTCAGAAATGTCGATGCGGTAACGATTGCGTGATTGAGCATAAGTCAACTTCATAAGATTTATAACGCGTTTATGGGATCGCGGTTATGTGTATTAAAGGTTAACGTGCACTCGAGCAGTGTTAAAATGGAGTATATTACATCATACTTCACGTGCGCTTTTAACTTAACGACAGTTTATATATCTTTAAAAGATTGCCATCTTTTGTAGCACTAAGTAATAACTATGCGGAGATGGAAGTGGTATTGCTTTTTATAATAGAAACCGTATTCTGAATTCGGTAAATCGAATCCCACCAAAAACATTCTGTAAAAAACTAGCCAATTCTCGATGGAGCTGCTAGTTTATCTCTAAAAAGTAATGAAATATAACAAAGACGTGCCAAGTCTAAGGTTCCTTATTGCGATTTCGTTATTATTATAGTTAATGTTGTGTGACTTCGCCGTTGAAGGGTAACATCACGTTTTCCAAGTGGCAAGTTTCCTTTACTGGAACCATTGGTGCTCGACTTGACAGATTATGATTTTGATTGTTGTGAATACTTGTTATTACATCTTCTACTTATGAGCAAAATTCGTTAGAATATTTGAAATTATAATGAATTAACTGTCATAAATAGATTTGCTAAAATTTTACGACTTTTAATCCAAGATGATGAGGGCAATGTTTAAGTTATGGACTTGCAATCTTGTGCTATAGCTTTTGCAGTGGAAAGAACTTATGCAATCAAATTATTACTTAGGTACTTACGAGGCGCTGCGTGATTGGGTACCAGCGCATTGCATGATTATTAAACACATCACGTTAACAGGATAATAATTATATTATTAAAACTAATAAGTTTGCTAATACATTATTTAGTTTGTATAACAGGGCTCAACGCATCGTAAAGAAAATTTAGGACTCTGATATAATTTAGCTGCGATATTGTCGTAGCTATACCCAATGACATCTCGGGCATGTGTATGTATGAGCCAATTTGTTGAATGAGAAAGGAAATCGTCTCTGTTAGATCTATATACCTATGCCTATGTACTTAGTTCGTTATAGGCCTATTCCTCTTACTAAACTACGTGTCAAATCCAATATAAGAAAAAAAGAATTTATAGGTTTTAAAGTAAATAGTTTGATGTAGTTGTAATTTGGATCAATACTTAAAAGTATTATTTACATGTGCCATAAAATGTTGTGTAAATTAAGACAACCATATCATTTTAGGTGTACCTAATATCAATTTCATAAAGTTAGGTACTCTCTACCTACAGTGGTATAATTACGCTATAAAAATGGATTTATTTATGTTTTAAGAAGTTTTCTTGGTACGATTTGTAATACGTAGGTACTTGTATATTGGTCTTTGATAACCATAAAGTTTTGATTGGCCAAATATTCCCATTTTCTGTATATTCGAAGTTTTCCTAACTTGTCGTCACCTTTATGGCAATTGACAAGGCGCGCCCAATATGAATGGACTTGATTACTGGCATATGTAGGCGAGGCGTTATATTATTATTGTATGTAATTTTGTTGGCATATAAGTGTATTCTTATTATGGACTTCGATCGTCTAAGTGTCTTGTTAGACAAACTAACATTTTTATATTCTTTAATTGCTACTCAGCCAGTCTCAAGTGCTAACAAAAACATTTAGATGACCATTGGATATACTGGACACAGCAAGATAATATTTACTACTATATATGTACCTACTTTATTTGTTGTGACCATTTTTAAATAATACGAAATCAATCGTTTCGTTTCGTACACTCGCTTACTTGTCGTCGTCTCTACAAATGTCGTCCTAAAAATGTCGTGGTGGCCCGGAGGTTTAAGACGCTTCTCATGCATGAGGGTGCGGGTTCGAAACCTACCAACGGCAAGTATCAATGTGACGTTTTCCAAGTCATATGTAGTTTCTAAAACTGTTTAGACAAACGACGAAAGAAAATGTCGTGAGGAAATCTGGGCTTATAATTTCTAATCATTAGGTTGAGATCGCCAACCCGCGTAGAGCGTGCGTGGTGATTAATGCTCAACCTTTTCCGTGCGAGAAGAGGCTATTGCTCAGCAGTGAGCATTTATAGGCTGTTGATGATCCATCTTTACACGAAACACCATGTGAGGTCCACACTATATTTTGTTCGAAATAAGTAATCGTAAAGCTGTCTTCAGATTCTTCGCAGTTTTACTTAATTATTGCAACACCATTTCACTTTGTTTTCCTAAGGACTGGAGAATATAATTGACGCGAGCGAATGGCGTAAGGCTTTGAGGTTATACTTACAAAAACAAGAATTTACGACTCACATACTCTGCTCTCACAAAATTTATTAGACGAAGTTAGATACTATTTAGAAAGTACATCAATTACCTTATATCATAGTCTTGTAAAAATAATATGTTTATAAACGTGATTGCTTTGTCCACAGGAGCTCACCTGCGCAGGGCAACGTCTCAGGATGCTGAGAAGCGCCGCTCATCGCTAGGTCATGTACCGACTATACGGCACAGGGCATCCGACGCTTTCCTTGATCCCCATCATGCTGCCATACTATTCCGAGATTCACGTGGGGTGAGTGTCAATTAATTTATATTTTCATTCACGAACTGAATATTATGTAGTTTAATCTTAAATATGAGTAGCATTCCGCGACCCGCGATGCGACTACTGTCGCGCTGCTAGTCGCGAAATGCTGCTTATGAATATGAGCCTCTGGCATGGCTTGAAACTAGTTTAATTCCTCGTCAAATAATTACGCTAGTAAGCCGAAAAACATAATAATTAATTTAGTACATGTCACGAAAGTTTTAACATAAATATAGTAAAAAGATTATCTTATTATTCTTTAGACTCTACCAAATTCATTCAATTGGTAACATTGCTTAATTTCCGTAGTATTGTTGATATTAACTAGCCAATGGCAGGCGATTGTTGTATACTGTAGAATCTAGTTTAAGGGAGTTGAAGCTGTTACGATAGGTGCGCATACCAATTTATCTTAAAATCGTACACTTCGTCATTACGCCACCTGAAAAAATACTCCAGGAAAATAATAAAACTATTCTGAATGAACAAGTACTTCATTATTTTTGTATGAATTCCAATGAAACTCCTTGGTGGTCATAAGCTCGACACGCGATGTTTGCAACTCGGACCTTCCCAGTTTGGACTCGAAAGCTTTGTAAAAGTACTTATAAAACTGTAAACATATATAACCTGAATTTGAGTCACGAGTCACGAAGGGCACAATAGTGAGCGGTGAGATATGAACATTGTTTTAAATATATTCATTTTAATAATATATAATTTTTTAGGTAGGTGCATATTAATGAAGCTATAATTATTAAATTACTTAATAATTAAATTATTTTAACATTCTTATAGTTAAAACTTGAAGGGAATTACATGTATGACTTCATTTATAAAATCGTCAATAAATCATCATATATTAATTAAAAACTAATGGTTTAGCAATGCTCAAAATTAAAATATACGCCTGATTAAAATAATGCCATTAATTTTCATTATTCCGAATTCAAATAAGCCTCTAACGTTGGCATGTGACACTGAATTTTGTTGCGTTTTGATAAGGTCCAAATTTGAAGGTGTGGTGATGATTTAAGAACAATGGGCAAAGTCCGGCAACAGAAAAGGGTCGGAAATTATTGATTTAATTCATAGGACAATAACCATGCAAATAAAAGCTTTACTACTTACATTTTTAGCATGGTTTTGCAACGGTTCAATCAGTTATCATATCTCGCTATTGTTCTAATTCCAAACTCACATTTCGACGAAACTTTTTAAAAAATGGACATTGTTTCATATGATTTTTAAATCCAAACTAACAAGACCATTGTTCCTCGGTTTTTATTCAGATCCGTGAATTTCAAATCGAAACTTCGTTATTATAGCATTGGTTTAGAACAATTTTTCTATCGTTTTATGATTATTATATGAACATGAGATCTGACACAGAAATAGAACTACGCATTCTACACAAACCCAGACTTACAGATTTGTTAATTAGACATTTTACTACGCATTCTATACAAACCCAGACTTACGGATTTGTTAATTAGACATTTTACTATCTACGCATTCTATACAAACCCAGACTTACGGATTTGTTAATTAGACATTTTACTACGCATTCTATACAAACCCAGACTTACGGATTTGTTAATTAGACATTTTTCCAAATATCTCAAGTACGTTGTTAAGGAAGAAGAACAATGAAGTAATTTTAAAATAATACTACGAGGCTCCACTCGGTATTCAGACGTGTCTTATCGGTTAATTGTGAAACCTATTGATCACAGCTTCACCTTGCTACAATGTTGGGTTGTAAAACAATAAGTATCATTACTTGACACAATTACTAAGTACTTAATACCAATGTGACGAATGTTTGACATTGTTGTTATTATTAGTTATTGTATTACAATTTGTTTTCTATTTTATTTATTTATTTATTAACTCTTTAATGCACACAAAATAAAGTACATAGGTAAGGCGGCCATATGGCATATTATCCCAGTCAACCTTTGGGTTAAATATAGAGTCAGCGAAAATAGGCTTATGTAACATGCAAAAAAAACATAATAAATAACTAACTAATAGTAATATTAGTAATAAGAAGTATCTATCTATTGAGATTGAGACATGACTGTCTCGTTGATCGAGTCAAAATTGTACCAGCCGAGCAAATTTTTGAAATAAATTTTGAGTAATAACAAAGTTTGGAATTGTGCACTCTAATATGCCAGAAGCCTCTTTTTTACACATGAGACTCGATAACATAAATGGTGAAAAGCGAGTGTTAGAGTACAGGTATGTGCACATCTGCATAGCCACTCGGAAATTAAAAGGCTTGGCATTATGCTATTGTCATTTCTATTAACAACCGATACGTTCACAATTTGTTACAGATGTACTGTTTGACGTCGATATTTTTGGAACCCTACTCTAATATTATTAAAACCTATTTTGATGTGCGTTACTAACATACATTTTCTAATATTTATAATTAATAATGTACTAAATGAAAATATATATAATTAAAAATATAAATAACTATGAACTAAAATATTTACACCTAAAAAAGCTATAATAAGGCATCAAAAATTTGTTACCAAGTTGACACCAAGTTGAATCCAGTCATCGAAGTTATGTATTAAGTTCTCCCTTTATTTTCAAAGTGAGATGGATAGAATCAAAGTAGTTAATAACTTTCCCTACTGCAACCAAGGGATAATACCTTAGTCTCCGCCTTAAAAGTTTACCTTCGTACTTATGGGAAGCGAGTGTGCAGCTGCGATTTTTCTCAACAAACTCTAGGTACTATAATTATTTCAGTGAGTAAGCGTAACAAAAAATTTAAAAGTAAAATTGATTTGGCTAGGTTACCGATGACTATATATTGTATATCTGTATATCTCCTACCAGCCTCTTCACTCGGGTTCCCGTGGGATATAAAACCTATGTGCTATATTCCAGACTCTTCAGCCGTTTCGACTGACCTGAAGGAGTAACATATAAACATAAAAACTTTCGCATTTATAATATTAGTAGGAATTTTCTCTTATGGCTCGCCTAGAGAGCGTTATTCGGAACATTTTTTGTTAATGACATATGGAGCAAACGAGAAGATGTTCCTCCTGGATGGTAAGCGATCACCACCGCCAGGCGCCACTAGAGGAGCCACAAGCGCAGGAGAAGGTACGGGGTGGTATTTAGTCAGTAAGAGTCTGACACTCCCTCCCGCCTCACCCAGGCGGGAGCGGTCATTCGATGATTTTCCCCCCTTAAAAAAAAGAGGTGCCACAAGGGTATTACGTTTAATATAATTATGCATCACTTCTTAACCGTTCTGAGAATAGCAATAATTTCACCGCAACAGGGATCAATTTCGTTTATGTAACTACATTGTAGTAACTCAAATATCGTTAAACGATTTAGTACGTTGTAAATTTGCATCAGTGGTGCCATCTGTTATTGGCAATTTGTCAATTTCTTATCATATTGGTTTAGCTAGTGTATTTGAAGGTTAAGCAAATGATGTTGTTTATTATATGGGTCACATCATACACAACAATATCTCGTGATTGGCCGTTATACTCCACTTTTGGACTAGTACATATAAAACTAGGGTTATATAGGGTTTTGAGACTGCAGTTATTTCAGGTTTATCACTCTACGTTAGATATAGTATTAGTTGACTTTGACTATACCCGCAAACAGAAAAATGGTTTAAAAAAACCTTTAGTTTGCTGTCACCACACGGCTTATATACCTAGGTGACGTCATAACAACAATAACAACAAGATACGTTTAAAGAAGTAAGTTAAAAATGTTATATTTAATTGGCGGAAAAGTTTAAATGCACTTTTCGTAACTAGGTACACAATTTTGACTAATTGGCACTTCTCGTTCTAAAATTTTGTCATGGCTGCTGAATTTTACGTTCTAGCACTACTTGTAGAACGTTTGTTTTGTAAGTAACTGCCAAACTTTTGTTTATACCGGGAATCGGTTTGAGTAGGAAAAATAACTCGTGAAACTTGTCTTAACTAGACTGATTGCTTTTTCCTTGCAAATAAAATATTCACTTTATACTTATGACACGTAAGTAGATTTTTTATTAGCTTAGGTTTTTATTACAATAATAATAAAATATCTTACGTTTTCCTTTAATCGGTTACATTTCAAATGCATACTGAGAATATTTAAATTGATTTAGCTTTAAAATAAAAAAAATGAAACCATCTAATTGCTAGTCGACGCGCGTACGTATCGTTTTGTTCTTTGTTCTGAAAATGAAAGGATTCCCTATCTAAAGGCTAAGTTTACCGCGATATTGTGGTAGCGCAACCACTCGCCGCTACCAACAAAATGGATATAGATAATCTGGCGGCGCGACCAGCTAGCACGGCAGCATTAGAGGTCTATTTTGTGGTTTGGTGACACTGGTGTCTGGTTATGTAGGACTTACGGACATTACATTTTACTGCACGGTTGGTGCGGTGGCTGGGCAACCGGATGCCGTGCAACGTGTCGCGGGTTCGATTCCCGCACGGAACAACACTTTGTGTGATCCACAAATTGTTGTTTCGGGTGTGGGTGTCATGTGTATGTGAACTTGTATGTTTGTAAACACACCCACGACACAGGAGAAAATCCTAATGTGGGGCAACGCTTTTTTTAAAAAAAAAATATTACAGTGACGCGACTGGTTCCGCTACCGTGGTGCCCGGTGAAATTCAACCCTAATTCCGCAACATAGAATAAGATTACTTATTGGTGGTTATTAAACCACAGCACCGAAGTAAACTTTCAAAATGAATATTATTTAATTGTAATGATTCATTACATAGAAAACAATGTGAGTATTACTTACAATTATACAACAGTACAGCGGTTTCTAACGAACGTTAAAGTTGAAGCTACTAAAGTAATACTGAGGTATAATTTTGCCATTTCATTTAATAAGAAAACTTCGTGACCTATTTTGATGTTAACAGACTTCAAAACAGGAGCAAAATCCATGTTCGACTGTATTTTTTTATGTTTTCTTTTCATCTCCCCCTTTCGTGGATTATTTGTCAATATTATTTTGATGTAAAAGAAAATACTTCTGAGGTGGTGTATTCTATGTCGAGATTTGACCTATCCTAGGAAAATTCAGAAAGACCAGTCCATTTTTCCAAGTTACATTTACTCTCCCAAAATTTGCGCTGTATTGTTCGATTTGAATTTGAATAATTTCGTGTAACATTCCTTTATTTACTTAGAAAATAAAAACGGCAGCTGGTTATCGACCGGTCTGGCTATTAGCAATCAAAACAGGCTCACCATTATTGTCTTTTGTTGTCCGAGTTTTAATACCTCTCTCGGGGGTGACGTTATTACCATTTATTCCATTGTAATGTTACAGACTATATTCTTTATTTTTTTTCTTTCCAGTTACCGGTTGCGGACCCGTTTTTGGAAAAAGTCAGCCTTTCCGACCTAGGTAAGTTCATTCAATTGATATATTTTTTATTTCAGATCATTCAATTTAGATCCATATTTATATCAATGCTATTATAAAATCCAGTGTTAATGTTACTTGAACTAAAGAATCTCTGTATATATCCTGCACGAACATTATTAATTTTATATGCATTTTCCTTATTTGTATCTGAGATGTGGGCTGTGATGATTCAACATTTCTGTTACTCGCATTATAATGTTGTTGCAAACCGTCTTATTTTACCTGTATTTTTGTTGAGATATTAAGCATAATATACATGTGTGGGTCAGTTTGGATGATGGATGTTTTAAAAGGACCTTGCCAAAGGGCTTGCGTCTCAGCAAAAACGATTGTGATATGGATCATCCCATTGAATTCGTTTCTACTTCAATGACTTTTTCCGCTAAGAGTACTTCAAAAGATTCTGCAAAGTAATCGATAATTTAACGTTTGTCTATTTCGTTTTGAGAATTATTTACCTTTTTGAAGTCTACACCTATTCTACTAACTAAGGTTCTTCATTCATAGATTACGCGCCTTCTATATTCGTAATATAGCTATATCAAGACCATTTTACTCTTGACAGGCAATTACGTATTAATCATACTGTTGTCATTTGGCTTTACTACAAACGGGATAAATCAAAGCGCTATATCGTACAAGATATGTACCTCTATATGCTTCGGGCACGTCTATTCTCTCCATATATTCTCAAACCTTTGAAATGCAAATCTCTAATATTAGTCGGTCCTAGACCCTTTCATCTGTGCTACAAAGCTATTTAAATTATCACATTGCACTGTTATTGCAGTGCCTGCCAGGTCGTTGTAAGGAATTACGTGGGTTCGATTATCAGATATATTTTAACAATTGTATTTCTTACTTTAACAAAATTATAGTTCAAATTTTTGTTCCTGATCTAGATGTGATTTCATGAAACTTGTTTTATACATACTTATAAATTGGACAGTCCAGTAAACTTTTAATAATATACGAATAAATGCTTGGTGCAGAATATTTTTAACCTTATCTCTGGTACGTCAAAAATTATTATCAGTTGCAACTGAATATAAAATTTAACGATTCTTTTGATAGCGATAAATTATTTTTTTATCGGCAACCTAGCAGTTACTTCGTTTTTTTTTACCGTGTTGAACAGTGAGCTCGCTCTTACGTTACAACTTTCATTCAGTTTCCTTTTTTTATCTTATCAATATATTATTACAAGGTTATGATACGACTCCTAATTAGTGTTCCTATACTACACAGTCAACCAATTAGACATGCTCATTTATAGACGTCTAAGGAAATTCCTATGTGGTAAAGGTATAGTTTTAATACGTACAGTTGCATTAAGTATAGTGAGCGCTATGGACATTCCTTCGATTAGGACTGTTCATAACTTATAATTGAGCATATTGTTTAGTTCAGCTTAATGACTACATAGAACAAGGTAATAAATAATGAGCCGTGTGTTGTGGTCGCTAGTTACAGTTTCCCTTGAAGACTTAATACTATACGTAAGTACCGTTACTAACCTTCACAATGCGCTAGTGCCTAACCTATTGTGTCGCGGAGTATAAAAAGTACACGTATGTAGTAAATGCGTTTGCCGATTTGTATTTACTATCGTGTCATATTATTTATCTGCAAATTTTTACGCATGTGATTAAATGATTCACTCTACTTATTTATATTGAAGAAATCCCCAAAGAAATCTGAATACGTATTCATTCAATCATCGGGAGAAGGTTCCTAAAATTATTCTACAAATTGTTTTTTGGCAAAAAGTAAAGGAAAATCGAGACCAAAAGTATAACGCGGTTTCCGTATGTTGACCGGCTTACATATTTTTAACCTTCTAAACATAGAACATGGGAACTTCTGAGAACGGAATAAATAACGATAGCGTGACACGTCTCTTAATTACAAGAGAGAGATTCCATCTTGTCACCGTAACTGATGTAGATAAGTGTTTTAAATAAATGTGTGAAATTATTATTTAAAGCAAATTATTACTATCTTTTGAAATGTCGCTTTGAGTGACAGTTATAATTAATTTAATAAACGGTGTTAAAGATGCGTGGAAATTACAACAAAAAAACTTAAAAAAGGAACGAGCCTGAACGATGCCATCAATTTTATGGAAGCGGCCCGAAACAGTAGTTCTTTTAGAAGATTATGGCTGTTTAGTGACATACATAGAGAGAAACAAGTTTTCAATACGAATGCGTCATCGGAAGACGTTTGTATAATTGTCTCTGGGAAGTAGCGTTTGGTGCATTGTAGTCGTATGTAGTTGGTAGCACGGTCCAGCGCGGCGCGACTGTGGGCGTGGGCTGGCAAGGGGCAGACGGCCAAGCGGCGCGGCGGCGGCGACGTAGCAGCGGGCGCGGGTGCGCCTAGTGGTGTCAAGTTCGTCGCGTCTCCCGGCGTGGCCGGCGCGGCTGGCGCGCGCGTATAATTAGCAGTGAGCCGTGGGAGGCGCGCCGGGCCGCACCGAGTGGCGGCGGGCGATGCGCCGCCCGGGCCCTGCGCATGCTGCGCTTACATTACTTCTCGGACAACCCCGCGCTCGCCGTCGACGACGACGAAGAGTCCGTCTACTCCATCGACCTCATCAAGGAGTTCGAAGCCGTCGGCCGCGCTTGGAAGGCGTTCCTAGCTGACTGGCTCCTCAAAGGTGCCGGCTTGTTTATGTCACCCACGCTGCGCGAGCGCTCTTGCGCAATATTACCTGTTGATGTTTGCGTTTTGTTTTCGTTGTGCTCGTCAGTGCTGTGACAACGTGGTGATTGACTCGTGTATGCTCATCTAACAGTGCAACGAATCGCAATTTATACATTATGTAGTTAGTTCTTACAAATTAACTAAAGTTTCAGCTTATCCTCTATGAAAGATTTTTACAGCTTTTATTGTCGAGTAATCTAGGTTGTGTTTCATTGGGACCGGGCATTTTTTCTTATAAATGTGCAAATTTCATTCGTAAACGTTCAGGTTATTGAAGAATTAAAAAACTGAAATATGATTAGTATTCAATTAGCTTTAGTTTGAACACACTTGAGGTTCCAATGACGTCACATCCTTAGCGCCGCGTGCGCAACGCACCAGCAATGAACGTAAATAAACAAATAGGTATCCGCATCGAAACATATCGAACATTATTGGCATAGTAACAGATTTTTATTTCGTGTTTTAGGTATGTAAGATTTTTTCTTCTCTCTGTTCAAATAATATTCTGTTCTTAACAATTAATAGTAAACTAAACAAATACAGTTTAGACATAGCCTATAATTTGATTTATTATTGCTTCATCTCTCTTTAACTTGCCCCAACACAACACCTTACAAATCAGTAGCACCATTTGTCCAATTAATAACATATAACATTTTAAATATTTTCTTATTCGTTTAATCACAGTTGGCAAAGATATTGTTCGGTGCCGATTGTAGCATAGCTATTAGGGCTATTAGCCATTTTTAGGTGGTATTAAAGCATTCGAAGCAGCGAAATCCGTTTTTTTCTAGTAGCTTAACTATCTCAATAGTTTCTTTCCTTTAAGTACCTACTCTTTATACTTTTATTGTCTGAACAGCCTGTTTTGGTAACGAGGAGAAACTTTCAAAAGGTGCCTAGCTTTTCGAGGAGTGTACAAATCTTACCTGAATAATACCACCCTATTGGCTACCATCATCTCTCATCTCATCAAGAAAGCTCTTGTAGACTTGCTCCGGAGTCCTTATTTGTTGCCCTATCCGGGATTTGAACAACTTGTGACCACTCGATTCGAAATAACAATAATTACTCTTCTTAATATCTCTCATAATTTAAGCAGTCCCACATACTAACATTTGTTCTGCATTCATCATTTTAAATGACTCATACGCATCATTCGTTGTAATTGCATACAGAAGTGTTAATACATTTATTGGACTAGATGCACACTAATAAATAGCCTAATTATTTTTTTATACCACAGTCTTTGGGCTTCTTGAATGTGGATTAAGAAGTACAGAATACCATGCGTGACTTTAAATATGGCCTTTTTAATACCCGCGGCGATGAGGGATTTTATGCTAGTCCCTAAGGACGAAAATCAATTCAGAGATGTAAAAAAGATTAATTAGGAATCAGACCAAGTGCCTCAAGGACCAAAAGGTCTCTTATTAGACATATGGCTTCTATATTAACAAAATGGACATAGTGGAAAGCCTTTCGCCTGCGTAGGCGCAGGCAGTCAGCATCAACAATAAACGTTAATAATCTCTACATTGACTAGATAGAGGTATAGTTGGCTCTGAAGCTGTTGTAGTAAGAGGACTCGTCGTTCGTTTATAGATGTAGGTGTTGATGCTGATCACCGGAATAGTTTTTAAATCCTACACTTCTGTTTTCTCCCCAAAACCTAGGCACCTTTTGAAGGTTTCCACCAGTTACCAAAAAAATTTTGACTAACTTTACTACGAAGTTCTTTTGTAACTGAAATTTTAGGTCAAAATTATTAGACAGTTCAAAGGTTCCGTCTCTTTTTCCCCTAGAAAATAAATGTAACCTTTTCTCTATCATAGCTAGTAGTAAAGTGCTAACATAGTAGTTTTAAGATGAATGTGTGAAGTTCCGTCAAGCTGTCACGAACTTTTTAATTACATGCGTCGGTAGTGTTGGCTGTCGAGTTACCCATTATCCTTGAACTAGTTAGTTGTTATTTTCTCGTCGAGAGTCTAAACAAGAGATTATATTCTCTGAAGTTTACTAATGGGCAAAATAATTAATCGATTATAATCGAAATATTTTTGTCAATGTGCAATCGTTTTTGTTAAATTTCAACATCGATTAAATTGGTTTATTTTGGCCGTAAAAATGCCAAGTCATAAGAAGGTTGTAAACTTGACCCAATGCTTACTAGTCATTTCCGTCGTGTAATCGGAACAAGTGGAGCAATAATTAGCATTCAATAGTATTGTAACGTGTTCAAAGTTGCTTCTGTGACGATTATTTGCAACTCGATAGTGTCATCGTGACCGCACGATAATGTAATACAAAGACAAAGAAGACGATACAGGTATATCAAAATGCAATCAGGAATTCAATAAGTGTGTGAATTGAGATTTGTTCTACTAATAATGTCGATGATAAAATCCTTTTAAGTTATGACAAAATAATGTTTGGCCTCGGTTTTGTTAGTTTTTTTCGTTCGTACGATACGACTACTGACAAAACACAAAAACGGGAAAAGTAATAATAATATTACATAATGATAATCGATGTCACCATTCCCCATGACGAGAACCTCGTGAAAGCTGTGAAAGATAAACAAATAAAATATCTAGACTTATCTCACGAGGTTGTCGACAGATTCGGCTATCATTGTGCCGGTTAATCCCTAAAAGCCTCGACATCCATCTCAGGAGGCTGGCTTTAGGTGAATGCATTAAGGGCCTGACACAGAAGGCAGTTCTCCTAAAAACAGCACGTATCGTGAGGAGGTTTCTGTCTCTGGAGCCCTATCCACCGGTAGCTTTGACCATGCTCCCGCTACAAGTCGGATCCTATTTTTTATATTTTGAAATATTATTTTTTATTGTGTAATTAGTATTTATAAATGTAATTTAAAGACAATTTTAAATAAATATATGTGAATATTACAAAAATCCATGCTCATAATATTTAAGTAAAGTGTGGTCACGTTATTATTAAATTTTATTAGTACGAGCCATCCCTTTATGACATTACCTCGAGAACTTTAAAACTACAGATAGTAGGTACTGGTTAATATTAGCTAATAATTATAAGATATTATAGGTACAGTTAAAATGTACAGGTGCGCCGTATCTTTTTTCATGTGTTTTATTTGCAAACGGAACTCGTTACATGCATTCCTTTGCTATTTGATACTCCCAGCCACGGCGGAGTCACTTTGTAATGCAATGACTCACAAGTCCAACGAAGTACGTAGGATGTAAGAACTCACACTATTGTATTTGTCTCTTCGTGATATAAAGCCGGTAAATACAAACATTCTTTCCCTCTTCAATTTTTAAAGAAATACGCTATCGTTTTGATGTTAAAAATTCAAAATCTTTGACACAGAAAATGTGTTACTTCAAAGCGAGGCAGAAACGGTTCCAGTCCAATGCTAATTTGTTAGATGTTTTATGGTTCTGCACTGACTGATGGTTCAGAGGGTTGGTCTGCTTGATAAATACGAAGGTTTTTTTTACTACGCGTTCATGTTTTATCTGACTCTGACTCCCATTGAGTATTGTGAAATTGGGTATTCTTATGACTTTGAGCTATTACGACGCAGTTAAAGTAATTTTACTGGCAGTAAAATGTCTCTCAGACCACCATTTTATAGGAATTAAAATTATTTGTATATCTTTACGCACCATTTACTTTCCTAGAAACATCTTTGTTGTTAAAATTGTCTTTAGATAGATATGGAATAATATTCACGTAGAGAAGTAAATGAATTCAAGGGGTTTTGCCAATGCAATAATGCAATGATAGCAAGAGATGAAGTTCTTGAAATATCCATTACTGTGATTTACTGGTGCTATCAAAACTAGCTATAAATCTAGAGAGATTGTCTGTACGCATTATACAACGTAGTCTGTTAGCAATTACGACACGTTTGGATTATAATTTCCTTCGCAGACTCATAGTTGAAGCGACAGACTATGACAGATTACTTGAACCTACTTAAGAATTTCGATTTGTCACCATTTCGTGAGCGCTTGATGTTACTGTAACATTTAGGAGAAACTTCTAAAATATCAAATGCATAATTGTTTTGAACACTACGGAATGCTATAACAAATAAACAATAATCAATTCCATAATGCAACGGAACTGAGATCGTGTTTATCTACGTAATTTTACTTCGTGGCTGGTGGTTGACACATTTAATGCATGCCAATACGTGTACATTAAATATGGCAGTCGAACTCATTAGCCGTGGTTTCATATTCAATAGTGCGCGACCACCATGCTATGTAATTGCGATATTACAGACTTATAACTTGGGCATCCTCAATGCAATACTTAATTGACTGTCATATTTCATAGAATAATGCATTTCATAGTATAAATTAAGAACAATTAATTGTTTACTGACGAATAGTATACGAGACCATACGATACAATGCAATACGATCATACGATACGAAACTGCACGCGACAAATGTTCTTCGTGGGCTACGTGCATTGGTTCATTATTTCTCCAATCATGGAGAGGTACAGTACGATTTCCTGGTGTCGCGCCTGGCCGTCTTTAAAACAAGCACACGTTACGTCGAGTCTCGTCGCTGACCGCCACATAGGACGCAGCCATGGTATGCTGTTGTATTGTTGATTTAATCGCATTCGTCGTTCTTGCAGCGTCGCGTCGCTCACGCAAAATACTCCGATAGCTAATTTCATTATGCAGCTTCAAAGAGAAATTGATGGACGCAAAAAGTAGTTGTCACTAGAGTGCTGTAGTCACAATTCTTTAACGGAAGGTTTAACATCTTGGTTATACATAGTCGATCTTGCGATCATCTATAGATCAATGAAGATTAAAAACAAAATGAACGATAATGGCTGTCATACAAAGCTGTTTACCTTGTGTTGCTTAACACCCAAAACTACGGAAGAGGTCATTTAACTTCACGGTCATATTATTATGTTTTTTCGTGGATTTCGTGATAATCTATTAGAGGTTTTGTGATAACTATAATAGGCAATTGTTTGTAATTTAATGTTAAGTAAAAAGTTTAGATTAAAAAATACAAGAATTTTATCAAACATTCAATCATTTTCAAATTGATAGAAGGCGTACTGCGATTTGAAGTCAGTAAGTGTGGGTGACTGAATGGGGACAACTCTTATTCGCACACTACTGTACTTACTGCGTACGAATATGTAAAGGGGGACGTGATTTATCGAAAAGAGGTTACGATCTGTAGTAATTATAAAGTACTCATTATTAATAGATCAATTGCCTTTATAGTTTTCTAAAATTACTAATGGAACGAGTGCTGGACACTCATTGTATTTATGGAGACACACATAAGACCTTATTATTATTCCTTATTATTAATCTGTTACTTCAAAACTTTTGTGTAAAATGAACTCGGTTCTCAGGCTAAATTATTCAAATATTGTATTGTAAGCAAACCAGAAATAAAACATTAAGCGACCTTGTCAATAATTTCCAGTACCACTTAAAGATAGAAGAGTATTGATAAGTACTTTGTCTGTATGTGTGATAAGTTTTAGTTATTTAAATCATATAAACTTGTACGTTACGTACATTTTCAGAACAATAAGTTAACAAATACTACACAATGTATCTGCAATGTATACTGTTTATGTCAATAAAGACTAGTTTGCCTTCAGCTTAATAGAGTTCCTTTCCCGAAATAAAAAGCATTCACACAGCGAAAGACTAAAATAATACTTATCATCAGTCTGTTGGAACCATCCAATGGCGGTTCAAACGACGGTAGTGTGTAACGGACGTACATATATGCACGTTTGGCTGTGTTTGTCCGAGGTTATAAATAGGCTTCAAAAATGACTCATTTCTTATTTTATGTCCGCGTTGCCGTACAATGAGCATGTTTCAATGAAGATAAATACAAAGTTTTTTAATTATGCTCTTTTCAGAGGAGGATGAGTCCCAGATATTCGTGAAGTTCTTCAAGTTCCACAAGTGTTACGACCTGATACCGACTTCGGCGAAGCTGGTAGTGTTCGACACGCAACTCCTGGTCAAGAAGGCGTTCTTCGCACTCGTTTATAACGGTTAGTGTGGAAATATTGTTTGCGTACACTCTTGTCTACGGCATCTATCGTGCTGAGTGCAATATGCATTGTTACCTTCGATACAAAACGTTCTCTCATACAAAATTTACTGCGTTAATATTATGCTCATCATTATAATGCCGCTCTTATCTTCTCTTATATTTTTTCCTGTTCAATGCCATTTATGTTGCTATGTGTTTATTAACTTCGATAACATCTATAGATAGACAAATCAAGGTGACAGAAAATCCAAATTTACTGGAAAATGTTTATTTTTTGGCACCTTGACTAAGACATTTGACCGTGCGATCATAACATAAAAATAAATTGAACTTCGTTCATCTTAGTACACTGAGCGAATGTATTTAAATAAGCACTGCGATTTCTCCTCAATTCTAACTAACATTACGAAGCGATTTTAATAGCGTTTATAATGCCAAGCGAGGTGATTAAAACGAATCAATTGATCATGTAATATTTCTGATTTATTTATACAGCTGTGGTGTTTGCAATGTACGGCCGAACCCCATAAGAAACAATACGGCCGTGTTGCCATGGAAACCAAGGTGTATATCGTTCCAGAATTTTAAACAGAGCTTGAGATTATAACGCTAATCTTTTAACTTTTACACCACGGTTATTGCTTACTGTTCATTTATTTTGAATATCAATAATAAAGATACACCGACTTATATACAAGGATTTGTTGTTATTACGTAAAGTTTAAATCCTGATAGCCTATCATTCACTGCTTAGAAGATAAGGAAGGATGATAAAGAGGTCATTGAACTTTGTTTTTGGTGGTTTAATTTTGACAATTGAGCTGATTAGTTAACAGTCTCCATCTCATGGTTGTATTGTTTCTTAAGGAGTACAATAGCATTAGACAGAAGGTAGAAAATGGTCGTCACATTATGATTCTCATTGAGTTCTTATTCATACGTTTGCTATTCTTAAAGCTGGATAGGCAAAGAGTGTAGGTAGATATGCAATCTTTTAGAGATGCACACTCCACTGAGCTCAGCACTCTAAGTGGAGTGTTTGAAAAATGGCTAAAATTATGATGAGGCCGACACTATCTATCCTTGTCTAAAATGTTAAGAGAAAACCTCGTACATACAGTGTTAAATATATGTATTTAATGCGATTTTGCATTGTTATATACTTACGTACTATATTATTATAACAATGTGATATATTATTACCCACGTCTTGAAGTGTTTATACAATAATGTTATACAGCTATTTTCACATTATATTCAACACTTTCAATCGATAATGACACAGCTTTTAAAGTGATACCCATTTTCTGTATGATTTTTTCAAATTTCCATTAATTGATTATTATATTTTAATATAAGATATAAAATTTTAATAATGGTTCGATCTACATTACAAAAAAATCAGTCACTATACCTAACATGTTTATCAAAATCTATAAAAGAACAATGGATATATTATTTACTTATTATACTTCATTATTAGTTTTCCACAATCAGTAATGTTGATAAATCTGTAATCATGTTTCAGTCTGCGAAGAAACTTTGTTTCTTGTTTCTTAAGTAATTTTTTCTCTCATCCAAAACGTCTTATAGAGTAAAATTGTGATTAAAACTGATAATAAATATTACAGAACTTTTCATTAGCTACTATTACATATACTTATATAAAAGTCCAATATTATTGGTAAATTCAGTCTAATGGTGGATTTTAAAACCACTTTAATTTTTTAATAATGAAGTTCATAATAATCTTAAGTATCAAGTAAATGAACTCCATAAAAAACATCACAAGAGGTCCAGCGTTAAACCGCAGAATACAAACAGTTACTTTCGCATTTTATAACATTAGCATGGATTAATTTCAAGTTATAATCCTCTTGAAAGTTTAATCTCTAGTCAGTTTAGAAAACTCTAACCAATTTTGTGGTACTTGATAACCAAATTAGCATATTTACACGTAACGCTATAGCATTTGCTATCTGACTGACTATTCTGAACTATTGACTATCTAGAAAGAACATCGAAACCAACTGAGCTGTCATAATCCCATCATTAGTATAAAAATATATTAAGGGCTTCTGTGCAGGTGACCCCATAAGTAGTTATACTCCAATCATTTTGCGTTCCCCTAACTTTGCCGGATATCCGCCTTCCAATCATCTAATTCTATTTAACACGGTCCCTAGAAAATGTTTGCCCAATGAGGGTTTTGGCCGATGTTTTCCTCTCATTTTTTTTTGTTATATGAAATTAATTAGTACACGTGGCGGAAAATAATAATAAGTGAAAAGAAATTATAACATACTTACCTGTGTGATTAAAAGATAAATAAATAAATAATAAGAAGTCGTTACTAGGCTGTGCAATGGACTGGACTTTAAAAGAGACGGACCTCTGAGTTTGTTTCAGTATTTCTTCTCAGAGTGGTCAGGGAAGGTCGGCCTCATCGTTCGCTTGAAGAATTGACATTTAAAAGTGCTGCCTAGTAGCCCCTTTTTTTGCAGAAATAAATTCACTTGTTTCAATGTTTTCATAATACTGAATAAACTTGCAAAAGTAGTCAATTGAAGTGTTACCTTTAGGCTTTCAAACTTTCTGTTATTCTGGAACTTAAGCCCTATTGTGATATACGCTACAAAACATTTGACAGCATTTTCACAAATAAACCGACGCCTATTAGCACGCCATGTCATGTCAAATGCACTATTTGCAAGCAAAACACGCAACGAGTGATACGGACCTTGAGTTGAATGCAAGTACTAAACGATAATAGCTGGATAGCGAGTCGAACCAACAAAAGATACAATTACCCCAAATTACTGCCTCATTACCGTTCATTTAGACCGTATTTATCTGTCTATGGATACCATTTGCACTTCCATTAGATGGAGATTGTAAAATGATAGTTATCATTTCGAATTAGGTAGTAAAGCGATTTATTAATGTACACAATTAACAGGTAATTTTAAATCCTAATGTTGATGTTGGCCAACAATATTCCAACTGCCATTGTTGGTGGCCAACAGCCAATACCAATAGCTTCCTTGCCAACAGGCGTGCGTGCCGCTCCTCTATGGGACTCGCAGCGGCAGAAGTTCGTGGGGATGCTTACAATCACGGACTTCATCAAGATTCTGCAAATGTACTACACAAGTCCGAATGTCGCTATGGAAGAGCTAGAAGAGCACCGACTTGAGACTTGGCGCCGTAAGTATATTTTTAAGTTAAAGAGGTTATTCTTAAGTTATCGAAATGCTATCAAAATCGATTATGGGGAAATGGGCGATATATACTAATATAATTAAATGACAAAAACGATAGATACCATTCGTCTTTTTCTTCAATCTTCTAGTATGAAGGTCCCGTTTAGGTTGCATCAAGTTTGCCGATATTTTGCCATGGTTCCACCTCTATACAACGACTGCGTGATAGTGTTTTACTGTAATCATACATACAAGATGCATAAGGAAATAATTATGCTATTATTTCAGAAGTCCTGAAAGGCTCAGTGGTGCCGCTGGTATCGATAGGGCCGGACAACTCACTGTTCGATGCCATCCGTATGCTGATCACCAACCGCATACATCGGCTGCCAGTCATCGACCCTGAGACCGGCAACGTCCTCTACATACTCACACACAAGAGGATTCTTCGTTTTCTCTTCTTATACGTAAGTCCATTCATCATATCCAGTAAAGTGTAAATTTTTCCGTTGTAGTTTCGACTTTATAGCTAAAATACTTAAGATGATCTAGTAATTCGCTGTCCACTATGTTTCTAGAACATTGACATTGTATACGCTGACCTTGACTTTTAGTTTCAATTCCTAGGTCAAGGTTAAGCTTTAGCGCATAAGTGTGGTTAATGACATTTTGGTCGCATTCTTGCTTAGCGGCCTTCAATAATGATTATGTATAAAGTGTTAATACACTTCACTTCACTAAGCCAACAATTGTGATTGATGTAAATTATTTATTTTTCGCCATGAAGTCGCGTTTACAAGTATCTAGATAAGGAAGTACAGGTCAAAGTTAAAGTTCACAGTCAAAACATTTATTTCAATTAAACCATAATTTGATATGTTTGAAATGTCAAGAAATACAAAATAAATAATAGTCTGTCAGTTTGTCCGTCAGTGAAGCTAGGTGCTCGTCCAAAATGTAGATTCGTAAGGAGAAGAACGAGCAAGATACTCCATCCCTTACCCGTTACTCTTTTATACAAAAAATATGTTTTACAATCTCTATCCGGGCTGATCTAGTTTAAAGTAAGATGAATAATAAATTGTGAAGTTCGATTTTAAATCGCAGAGTAAAGTGCCTAGCTATCGTCGTGCCTTCGTTGACCTTGTAGACCCGCATTATAGTCTCAAATATACCTTGTTCGTTACTTTTAGAGAAAACTTAGTAGGTACATGTTGTGAGTACAACTTAATAGGTTTTTTCCGTTATACTTAATATGCAATAGTTTATAACTCCTACGAAGGATTTACGGAAATATTATCGGAAGCTTACATAGTGTAACATCACGCCTTTTACCCCCAAACGGTAGGCAGAGGTGCACATTACGGCACTTAATGTCACTATACAATGTAGCACCCACTTTTCACTATTCATGTTACGACCTACGAGTCCCATGTAATAGGGGGTGAGCCTATTGCCATATACCGAGCGCAATCCCAGACTCCGTGCTATTACCGAGTTATTTGAACATATACCATTGCCTGTAACTAAGCATAAAATATTTCTATTACAGATAAACGACTTACCAAAGCCATCGTACCTGCAGAACAAGCTGCGCGACCTGCGTATAGGCACGCTCAACGATATAGAGACTGCGACCGAGGACACATCCATAATCGACGCACTGCGAAAATTCGTCAACCGACGGGTTTCCGCACTGCCACTCATTGACTCTGAGGGACGTTTGAAAGACATCTATGCCAAGTTTGACGTCATTGTACGTATAATATTTAGTCAAATAATTATTTGCTAACTCACGTCAATTTTTTCAGAACAGATTTATTTTAATTTGTTTTTTTTTTGTGTTATTGACAACCCTGTCTGTTATGTTGACGCGTGTCGATGTCAGCTTTAAATCATCTGTGGCACGTTCGATAAAAATGGGCTTGTGACTGCCGAGCACGTTCTATTAGGTCGGAAGGGAGTATTAATTTAATATATTGTTAACGTGATAAATTTTAGTTCTTTATGTTACACAGTTGAATGTAGGTATTGACACTGTTTGTCGCTATGTATGCTTAGATCTTTAAAACTTCGCAACGGATTTTGATGCGGTTTAAGAAACGTTTATATGTATAATACATGCATATTGCACCCGTGCGGGGCGGGTCGCTAGTTTTTTTATATAAACTTTTGAAATACCCGTACCGTCGATTTTTTGTGAATGTTTGTATTACATCAAGTCCATCCACTATTATGATTATGCACGTATACAAGTTGCAAGAGTTTGTTTGTTTGTTTTGAACGCTCTTATTTCTGAAACTACTAGCCTTCCTCGATAAATAGGAAGGCTATAGGCTATACAACATCCCACTAGTACCAATAGGAACCGAGCAGAGCGGGTAAAATCGCACGGAAGTAGGTACTCGATAATAACCATATGTAAATAATTGTGTTTGTGCTGACGTCTGACGCTGCCTGCCCTGCAAGGTGAACTAAATAAATCTAATTTATTTGTAAAATTACATTAATTGTGTTGCAACGTCGCCTATCGAGTCATATAAAATCGAATTATGTTACTATGTTGTTCTAGTTACTGTGGTGCTCTATCTAATTTTGTTAGTAAACCTAATTGCCAATGTGTATTATGTTCGTAGAACATTGTATGCAATATTCTCATGTGATAATGTGGTCTGCCGTCTGGTACGTAGGGGAAATGCAATAATGTGATTAAACATAGCATTTCCTATCTAATGTGGTCCCCGGGTCGGAGTTGGGGTTAATAACTGCTCTGTAATTTAAGTGCCTGAAACTCAGTGATCGTTTAAAAATATGACAAGCGAACTGTACAGGAGGATTTTTTTGACTTAGCTTCTTGAAGAAGCTTGTCTCTCTAGACTAGATCAACTTTCTAGATCAGACTAGAACAAGGTACTGTCCGGGGTCACATTACATGTATAGAATAAATATTGTATCATGACATACAGAACTTCTTTTATTATACATATTTTTTAATTGTGTTCTGGTTTCGCATCAACCACTTCATTTCTCTGCAGTTCCCTATGGTTGACTGTAAGAGCACCTTAAGGCATTAAGTCCGCCATTCACTGTTATGTTTTGTAAAGAAGAAATAAATAAATAAAATAAATAACCTAGCTCAATAAATTCAGATATCAACTAGAGTCCAGGAACTAAAAAAACACTTTAAACAAAAATTGTGAAACTAGTTAAATTACATGAATAGAAGAAAGGATTTGCTTAGAGAGAAACTGATCCGACCTTTTCTAACATAAATTATTAAATATTCCAGAATCTGGCAGCTGAGAAGACATATAACAACCTGGACGTGTCGCTGAAGACAGCTAACGAGCACCGCAACGAATGGTTCGAGGGAGTTCAGAAGTGTACGCTGGATGAGACCCTCTTTGACGTCATGGAGAGGATTGTTCGCGCCGAGGTGAGTTCAGCTAGGATATTTTTTGGGAAACTGTTCATTGTTATAGTGTGTTGGTTGAGATGACGTAAGACGTTTAAGGAATAGTTTATTAGACTACTAAACACATTCAACTCGTCGAGTACCGTCATTATAGACACAATTATAGATCAATAGGTTGCGGTCACCGGTGACCGCTTGGTGTTTGACAGTTTAAGTAATTTGAATCAACAACCAGCAAATATATACGAGATTTCTAAATCTTGCATATAAAGCCTTTACGTCATTTCAATTGGCATTTTGGCAATTGGCATTGGCATTTATGGTCTTGCAAGCAAAAGATATCGACTTAAATAAAACTTGTCAAATCATAGAGATATTCAAAGGCACCAATATATGTACATTACTTACAGTTTAATGACTCAGCAGCGAAGAAAATAAAAATGCTACAAACTTGTACGTTCGCCATGTACCGCACCCCTAAAAACTTAGGTTCATGGAACTCGTGCTTATTTACGCTCAATTTGACGAGGAAATCCTTTTTCACATAAACTTGTTTCTGCTTTATGAGTGACAACAATATTCAGTTGGTTTAACACAAAACAAAAATGTTTTATTTTTACTTTTTTCTGCTTACTTAATAATTATCACACACATACACATAACAGCACGCCTTTTATCTCCGAAGGGATAGGCAGAAGTGCACATTACGGCAATTAATGCCACTGTACAATGTAACACCCTCTTTTCACTAATTATGTTATGCGAGTCTCATGTAAAAGGGCACAATTACATGACCGGGCACAATTCCAGACTCCGTGCTACTACTGAGAATTAAAAAAAAAACGAGTAATACTTTGCCCGACCCGGGTATCGAACCCGAGACCCCTTGCCGGGTCTGACTGCCGGGACTTGCGACCTTTCGGCCAATGAGGCAGATAATGATAATCCTATATTATAATGGCATATACCTGATTATATTATTAACAGAATGTCGCCTTATTTTCCAGGTGCATCGTCTGGTAGTTGTAGACGAGAATGATAAGGTGATAGGTATAATATCGCTATCTGATTTACTGATGTACCTTGTGTTGCGTCCCACCGGCGAGTGCGGTGCGGGGGGCACTAGTCTTCGCAATGAACACGCGTCTATTGAAGAAAAGGACGAGAATATAGCCTCGGAAGGCACTTCAAGCGCTGATGATGGGGCCTATGCCGTTGGTGGTGACACTGACAGCGGTCTCAGCGAAGCTGTAGGCGGGATTGAAAGTGAACCCGCCAACTCTTCAAACACTGACACACGAGGATCCAAGGAGACCATCGACAGCGCGTCCCGAGATCCGTAAGGTGTAATGTGCTTTCTTGATGAGTTTCTTAGTTTTAGAGCTGGCGTTACGCGAGCGCGGTTTTATTTAAGTCTGCATTTCCATTTTCTTAGCAATAGCAACTAACCTATGTAAATGGCGATATCATTTTGATCTTGGTTCTAAAGGCCTAGTTCCCGATAATGTCACCATTTTTACTGATGGTTCGTCCAAAATTGTTCTGTTTTCTAATATAAGAAAATAATACACCACTTTTTACGTCTCGATTATTTGTTTGAAACTGAATGAAATAAAACAATGATATGGCTAATTAAACGATAGAATAATCGAGGCGTATTGAGAGGTCGATCTCCTATAGTTCAATTCAGATACATATCATAAGTATGAAACCAGAGGAAAGAAAGTACCTGACTTTTGGGCTTTAGATGATTAATAATTCTTTCATATACTATGTTCAACCCAAGATAAATAAAAGCTGATAACCTCATTATTTCAAGTCGATAAAAAAAAACAATAAACGTCATATTAAATTATCAAGTACGCGATGAAATGTTTCTCATTCAGTCGTTTTCCACAATAATAATTTGAATTAATATTTCCAGATTTTTATAGTAAATATACGCTTGTAAGACTGCCTCCATGTCAATTCAAATATTTATTCATTTACTGAAGGAGGCAAATTGAAATGCATTCAGAATATTGCTTTGTGTTTTTTTATAAAGATTAAAATACTTCGAAGGTGTCTACTTCTCCTATGGTATATTGTTACCGCTTCTTCACATTTTGGATCGCAATCATCAGTAATGTTGTGACCTTATTGGTGTCAAACAAAGAGTAAAACAATATTTTGTTACTACAGTTTAAATATCGATCATTTTTCATCAGTTGGTTGTGAATACTTGAAAAGCTGAATATTTTGATTTAAATTGAAAGTGTTTTTGATATTTCTTTTTCTTCAATTCCACTTTTTATATGATATTTATGTGTATATTCCGTAATTGTTTGTATAATTTTGTGTTATCATTTCGTGTTCCTCCAATATTAAACTGGCATTGATCGGCGTTGTAACGCAAGCTCGCCGTAGATGTATGGTTTAGATTATAAACATTGTGAATTATCTACATGTGACGTGTGCTACATCTGTTTTAGGTATTTGTATCATCACTAGAGAACGAAGTTTTCATTTATGTGTAATTCACTCTTTACTACATCACATTCAAAATCTGAATATCAGGAAATTCCGTTCTCTTCTTCACCTTGTCTCTAATTTAAATGGTTATGCACAGAAACACGGTACATCTGTGCTTTCTCATGGTACCCGGCCAAACACCGTACCTATATAAATAACCAAAACGAAATTAGTTTCTTGTTATCCATGGTTCCATCCATACATTCGTTGCTAGCCACTGACCATGAATAGACAGATTCTTTGTAGTGACATCACATGTTTATCATGTAACATTAAGACAATTCATGTTATAGTCCATACTCAATTTGAACTTATATAAATGTTAGCAAAAGTAATCACACTTTACTATTTAAATGTAATAGTACCTAAGTAGTGTGCAGAAAGTTGTCTAATGCTGCATCTCAGCTAGGAGAGCCGAGCACGAGAGAACATCATGGAACCTTGGACCGAAGATAGACTTCTGTGTAATGGTATAGCTTCTTGAAATTTCATATTTTGTTTTGTGCTTTCCAATTGGTTATAGTAGATTCTCAAAGTTCCTCGATGTCATTAGAAGAAAGTTCCTAAATACTCAAAATTCTCAAAATGGTTAAAAATATCAAAATTTTGTTGATTGGATCTCATTTAGATTTGTACATCCCCATCGTATTGGCTATTTTCTATTTGTACTGACCACCGCCATAATAACCGCTGCAACACCAGTTTCTGCTGTAATATTATTGATATCGTCCGAATTCACCTATAGCCGTGAGCTGACTGCGGAAACCTATGTTCGAGGGCAGTGCGATCACTGTCCGTGTCTGTCGTGTTCGGCTCGTGCTCCGATCCTGTTCGGCTCTCCTAGCGTAGACGCAGTTGTAGGTTCGTTGTACGTCTACACTTGACTCCGCGAATGACGCAGCTGAGAACGGCTTCGCTCGTACTCGGTTCGTCTAGCATACATCTCCCCTTAAATGTACTCTCCCCTACACAAACGTATCCGCCAAACTAACGCTATTTAGTTTATAATTTATAATATTTTTGTTTGATAGTAATTATTCGAAAATTGAGAGTAGTAGATCAACTTTAAGAAGTTTGACGTAAAGCTACGCCAAAAATCGTAATGTCATCGTATTCCTTATTGTTTCTTTTTAAGTTTTATCTAAATTATATTTTGGCAAAGTGAATTAACAAATTAGTTTTCTCATCTTAGGTACGTAAGTTTTCATATATTTTTGGATAAAATTACGCGTAATGTAATGATAGATTGGTAATTCGATATGTTACTAACAAACAAAATCATGTACTTCCTGTAAGTATTATAAATTGTGTTATTAATTTATGAGTAGAGTAACGTTGTAGTAAAGATAAACTGTTATAAATGTTGTATTAAATTCAAACAAATATTTTGTAGCGACATTATTGTATAGTTGGGATGAATTTATTGATTACATAAAGTCTAAACCACTTTTGTGTATATAATACGTAGTTCCAAAAGCTATGACACATACATTTCTTCCTAATGTTTATGTGTTATTTGTTTGAGAGGTGAAGCGCACATGATATGCATTATGAGGACTTGAAATAAAAATTTGATTCGTCATCACGTTTGTTTCATTTTGCTTGTACCTACCTATTTAGGATAAAAGCATCTGCTGTATTATGTGCGGCGTCAAAAGAGCTAAGTCAGATTTTATTATAGGTAACTGCATGCAATTTCATTACAATATTATTTATTCAGCAAATGCCCATACAATAAACCTGTGGTCTTGACTTTGATTCATTTTTCGATATCCTTCAAAATTACACGCATATTACACAAACCTTTAATTATTGTTCAAACAAAAAGTAAAGTGACTTTTCAATGCGATAATCCATTCATAAATAATAAGTTGCCAATGAAAAGTAATTCAGTATATTTTTTTCAGATTTAGTTAACTCACAGAACATATAAAGGAGGATAGAACGGCCTTGTGGGCGGTACACGCGTGCCGCAGTTATGAGCAAATACTCCAAATCTACCAAAATATCAAAAACCGGCCATCAAACGCAATGTTGTTGTGACAGCGTACGAAACTCCGCAAATAATATTAAATTATGCCGTCTTGGACTATTGTAATGTGTCGGAAAAGAAGACAGGTGTGCAATGTAGCACGAGAAGGGATTTCTTTCCACCAGTGACTCCAAAAACATTAATATACTTGTGATATTTGTAATTATAACAATAATATTATGACGTTTCTAGACAAAAACGACATTATCGCAAGCAGTATACATTGCTTACAATAGATACGTACCGTTTTGCACTACATAAACGATCGCGCAATGTATTACGTTCACAACGAGAGTCCCGAGTATCAAATCAAAACGTCATTTCCTCGAATCGATATAGAGAAGTGTCAATTTGTAAACAATGTCGATAATTAATAAGATACAAAGGATTATTATCAAATTATAACTAAAATAATTTTATTTATTACGACTAATTATGAAATAGGTTTTAAGTGAGACATTTTATTTGTATTTCAGTTTTATATAATTTTTTATGTGTTCGTTATGTTTTGTGCAGTAAGTAGACTGATTTTATGATTTAGGAAATTTTGTTTTACATTTCTACCTTGATATCATCTAAGCGACATCTAAATCATTTTTCGTAAGATGGATTCATAAGATGGTGCATACATGCTTAGGCCCAAATTGTAAATAGTTGAAACTATGAGATATTCTTAAAAGCCAGCCGAAATTTTAGTCAATAATTTAAAATAGTTGCTGAGGTTTTCTATTCGAGAAAAAAGCTATGACAACAAATAAGATGACATTATATCCTGGGAGCGATTGTATTGTACCTTTTTTAAGAATAGCTATGTACACCTGATGACTTTTCTAGTTTTCAGAGCTTTTAGAGCTGACTTAATTTATGTGAGCTAAAATGTTGTGTTGGCCTGGAGGTTGCGGCGCTGTTTCATACAACTTATACGTACTTTCTAAGTTAATTTGCACACCACTCACATTCAGTAAAGGAAATTATGTAACCGAAACTATATAATAATTCCTATTTATATTAACTATTAAAGAAATACGAACGACGATTATCGGTTGTCATCATACGAATGTCATGATGATATCTAACAGAGACAATAACAGAGTTTTGAGCACAGATTACATATATCATGATATGGTTACGTTATGATAATTCTCAATATTTCATTATTTTATGATTTTTCATTCCTTAGGGAGAAATTACGCTATTTTTTCTATATTTTGAATTAAGTAAAAATCTATTATTTTTGACCCCATGACTTCCCAGACTCCTTTTATTTTTATAAAACTTAAAGTTGAAAACAAAACAAAATCTAAATAATACCTTTTCGGTTTTTTATACTTTTTTGATTACTACAAATCAACAATTTACTTATAATTATATTCCATGTCAAATTATTTAATGTTAATAATGTAATTGATTTTAAAAATCAGTTATGTATTTTTCTATGTATAGTTATTTACATTAACGTAAATACATGTACACAATATGCCTTATACAAATCCGCATAGTCCGCAATACATGTAAATTAAGAAGCTAGATGCCATTAATTTTATCGATATCAATAATCGACCTTTCGCTCCCCCTACCATATATGAGTTTTTACGCCTGTATTAGTGTATGTCAAACGAAGTGATTGCGTCAGTGTGACGACCAATAACAAATCTTTTAACCTAGTGCGTGTTGTTTATTTGTGTGCATTTTCCGCGTAGGTATTGGTCTCTTGCTTGTAGTAAAGTTAAAGAGTGGGGACAAACGGCGACGCGTGTTCTAATACAAATCAGGATCTATTTCCTTTCTAGCCTTCTTTATATGTTCTGTGAGTTAACTAATAAGAAATAGCCTATGAAATGAAAGCAACCATACTGAAAAATGAATGGGCTTATAATAAAATTATTTTGGAATATGATAATCACATTATACACATTATTATTCGATCGATATCATAAAGAAACACGCCATAAGTACTTATTTTGGATTAAAAAAACACGAATGACCTGTGAATGTTATTAATGCACGCAAGGCTCCGAAACACCATTGATCGTGTCGACACATGGGTGCTTAGTGCTTACTCTTGAAACCAATCTCAATGTCAATGCAATTTCAATCCAATAAAATTTCAATAATGATTCAATGTCAAAACTATACAACCCCAATCGTAGCTGTTACAATAGCATTCAGAGTACCTACGAATTATAAAACCAAACTCAATACAATTTAGTTCCTTAAATATCCACGCAATCAGTATGCAATGGGCGCTAGTGGTGCAAGGTGCAACTCAAAAGTACGAAATTTCACAATACCGATGTCGATCGATCGGAATTGGATTCAAGAGTAAGCCCCTAGGTATCTGCATGCTCCTTAATTTTTACTCCTAACCTAGCAATCATAGTTTTGATGATATTTGCGCTGTTATAACCGTACCCAATCTACCCTACACCCAACATATTAAGGTATATGTTATCCAACCAAAAACATTCTGTAAAAATCTAGCCAAGTCCCGATGGAGCCGCTCGTTCATCTCTACAAAGTAATGAAATCTCTAGATTCATGTCTACATAGTCGTGCCAAGTCTAAGGTTCATTACTGCGATTTCGTTATTACTATAGTTAACTACTTCCGCGCGGTTTCACACGCTCTGCTCAGCTCCTATTGGTCATAGCGTGTTGTTTTATAGCCTATAGCCATCCTCGATAAATGCACTATCCAACACGAAAAGGATTATTCAAATCATACTTATAGTTACAGAGGTTAGCGCGTTCAAACAAACAAACAAAAAGCAAACTCTTCCGCTTTATATAATAGTATATAAAAAGTTGCGTGATTTGAGCGTTGAAGGGTACACTAGGGTGTAAAATCAGGTGCAAGGTTATCAGTGCAACAATCTGTGGCCAGAACAGCTGTTTATTCAAAACTTTTTTCTAGTGGTAATTTTCGATCTTCAATGTTTATAAATAAGTAATAATTATTCATACTAGTTATACCTACTGTATACCGACCCACTCGTGTGTTATTGTCACTCTGAGAACATTTACTCATTTGTAAAATCATCATGGGGGAAAATCATCGAATGACTGCTCCCGCCTGGGTGAGGCGGGAGGGAGTGTCAGACTCTTACTGACTAAAAATCACCCCGTTCCTTCTCCTGCACGTCGAGCCGGAGCCCCGGTTACCCGTTAGGTTCTCCGCGACCGTTAGGTTCTCCGCGACAACAAGTAGGTATAGACTTTACCCCTTAACAGTTATATATGTAGGTGGGTTTTAAGGACTAGACTACAAATAAAACGCAAATAATTGATTTATTAACATTTTATTACGATCGATTATAGTTAAACTAAGTTTACATATCACATAAATTGTTTCCGAAGCGAAGCAGCGTGTCGGCTAAATCCATTGGTCCAACATCTTTTAATTCACTAAGATTGCCATAGGTACTTCCTAGTTATACTTATAGATTTAATCGCAGAGATTAAATACATTGTTTGGCATTTAAAATCATTTTTCTAATACTTCCCGCGTATTAACTTAACAACTCTCCGTCCTATTCTTCTATCAATTGCTCTAATGCGTGATGAATTGTTTGAAACAACCATACACGATTCATACCATATATCGCCAACGTTCTCTTTTAGAGCCTTGCTTATTGATGACAACTATCACGATAGCCGGCGCTGCTTCGCTCCAGATCGGCGACAGCAGAAACAGATAAATTAACATATAAAATAATGCTGAAGAGTGCAATAATATTCAACGACTAAGGCATGTGAAACGATGACATGGTTTATCAACAATCTATGCAATCCAAAGTATAATCTTTGAAAAGTGAAACACACTATAGTCGTCAAATAGAACAAATCAATATAAACCAATATAACAAATAAATTACCTAAGAAGAAACTTAATATTAATACATTCATAAAAAAACTAAAAATAACATTAACGGATCGTAGATTCTTATACGGCAAATAAACTAATGACACCTAGTTATGTATTCTAAAACAGGAATGTTAAGCATTGCAAACCAAAATACAATATCACAATATTTAGCTTAGACCATTAGAATACAATTGGGTAGATGTGTTTCCAAAAGATGTATTATTTCAATACATTTAGCTCTAATAGCTCGTGCGTTGCGTGAAACGTGTGAGCAAACATTTGAGACTATGAAAGCCTGGGCTAAAGGAATAGTTTATGCATAACGCTGCCTCCTAAGTTGAAGTCAGCTCACTTGCAACACGATGTATGGAAAAGCTAAATATTATCAGTTTGTATTGGATAACTACGGAGCGCGAATATTGTACTGAGGGGCTTTTTGGTAATCGTAAAATCATTTGCTCTGGACACGAAGGCAGATGTCTATGTCCAGGAATTTCGGAGAGTAAATCGTACATCACGGATCGATACTGTTTTTATTAAGGTATAAAAATACCTAATAACTTTCATCGCCGATTGGGACACCGTAGCTCGCGCAGAACTTATTACTAAAGTGTCCGGTTAGACTCTGAAGTCTGTTCTCATTGGTAATATGCCACTGCCATTATGTAATGAATATAGCAGTTGCATTCATGAGTATTTGGTAGGTAACAGGCTAACAGCCCTCCAGCCAATATTCTCGCTCGATTCTGCCACCGTATAATAAATACGCACGGCGTGCAGAACCAACATTTAAAACATAGCAATGCGTGGAATGATTACATGGGGACATCGATTTCGGACTTTAAAATACACCGATCTCCACTCAAGGCTAAGGGAAACTAACCTTATTAACGAACTAAAATCTTGCTACTGAACCGTTTTTTACCAGCTCCACTGTCCCCGTGCCTTCAATGTAAACCTTTCAATGTATTTTAAAGCTTAGAGCAAACTGTGTGTATTGTATATTGGACATTTGGAAAGACTTATGAAATGTGTCTTAGATTGTGATGTGATAACTTTATGACAAGCTATAGGTAGCGTTTTAGTTATTTGAAAACTATTTTTGATGTCTTTTGGATTAGATGATCGTTGTTATAAACACGTGGACCCCCGAATTACAATGTTAACTGGTTGAAGTTAATTCAAAACGAATGTTTATTAGAGTCAGAGTTCTTGTTGGTATCGTAAGCTCAAATAGGTACATATTGTCCATCAGAAACACGAAGTGATGGAACGACTAGTCTCATAGTTCCGGGAGTCATCGTGTAACCAAAGCATGTCCAACTACGTTTCCACACAGTCTGTCCTACGCTTACAATTTTAGTACTTATCTAAAGATATATATCCTTAATAACATCGTTTAATTAAGACTTACAGCTACATCCTTCATATCAACAATTTATAATTAAAAATTGCAAGAACTATCTATGTAAACAACATAATATAAAAGTAATTTTGAGCGTTGTAAATTTTGTTAGCGAATCCAAAATATTTCTGGACACAGTAATCATGTTTGTAATAAACTGAAATCAATCTAAACATGGCCGTTGGCTTTGCAATGGCCGGAACATCTTGCATTGATGTTGTAGATAGCCTCGCTAATTCAAAAGCAGCAATTCTGGTGGTATTCATGCAAAATTAGCTTGATGTAACAGGCTTCTAACAAAGAAGTAAAGTATATTTTCCTTTCCTGTTTAAGTAGACCTAAATCAACTTATAGTTCCAGCCACCACACAGCCATAGACTTTGAAAGTTAATTATAATGTGTCTGATAGAAGGAGCACATTAATACTAACAGATAAGTATTGATACACCGTGTGTGTTAACACAGAACATACCTTAATACTATTATATTAGAAGAGAGTATTATTTAGTATCATCTCTATTTTAGTCACGGGACGTAGGTGTTGTAGTCCCGGCTAGAATGGGCGTGAGACAGATTCACAAACGCTTCGCAGACAGCGTTTCGAAGCAATTTTATCTTAAATGTTCAGATACTATGAGTCATATTACGTTGTGTCTGACGTGCTGATACGGAGACACTGTAGTCGAAGAATGCTGTCTCATGCTCATTCTAAGTAAGCCAAGTGTCCTCAGACTTTTGGGGCTCGCCCAGGACTGGCTGGAGTCTTAGGCTTACGTCACGCATATAATGTAAATAGATCAGGTGCTGGCTGAGATCATTCATATTGTCAAGTCCAATTATCAGTTCTTCCCGTTTTATATGAGAAGAATATGAACAGAATACTAATTCATTGTTATAGATAACTCATCAGTTAGCTGTTAGCAGACCCTTTAACAATTATTACAAACCAATTTATTTCAAGACGCCGTATACGTCGCCTTGAAAAAGCCAACAATTACTAGTTATTTATCAACATCAACAAATTTATTATTAAGGCCTTACCAATTGTTATCATAATTTTGCCTTCCAAAAAGGAATTTTGCCCTCTGACAAAATGCCTAGTATAAAAACCATAGTTTTAATTTTGCGCAATCAATATAAACAGTTACAGCGTTGGTTTAGTTGATTTGTTTAAATTATATTTAACTAGTGTTTGGTTCGTTTTAAATGCAGAGTTTTAAAAATACGTAAGAAGCGAGTAATACACAAAGTACTGAAATACTTGAGACCTACTTATAAATAATTTTATCTACAGTAGGCAACATTTACACTTTCCAAAATTGGTATTGTTAGACCACGTACAGTTCCGTATTTTTTCTGGCCGTTGGAGAGTGCAAACATTTGTAAATGTAAGTATATTACAATGCAATATCTTCTAAAAATAGGTATAGCCTAAATGATACAATAACATAAAACAATACATACATACATATTACTGAAAAGTTCTAATAATATACGTAGATATTAAGTTTATAGTTGAAACATTACTTAAAATATCACATTTTTAACAATATTTTTAGAGAAAAAAAATATCAGGGTAAAATTAGATTAAAACCAATTTGAAATTTTTTATGATCGTGGAATACACGATGTTTGGCGCGGATTGCAAATATTGGACCACCGATGATTTTAAATTCCACGGGATGAGATACCCGTTCTTTTTACTATTGCTTGGAGTTACTCCACACGAGTTAATACTTCAGATTTTATAGATTATCGCAAAGAGAGGACTTCAAAGTTGTTGCATTCAAGTTGTATTGTTGCGCTGCGCCTGACATTCAAATTAATGTAAAAAAAATAAAAAATAATTAGGTAAATAGATACGATATAAATATTCAACATTTGAGCTGTGTTAAAATACTAACAGGAGAAAATTGATATAAAAATAATGAAGTTAGGTACCGTTAGTTATTTAACTAAAAACAATATAGTTTACAAAATAGGTACCGTAATCTGTAGGTAGGTACAACTACTAAAAATGTTAACAGGAGAAAAATTTTGGGTAACAATAAATAAATATATTAAAAATTCATTTGTGATATGTTTAGATATTATTATATAATATTAGAATATGTAATACCAAATATATATAATATAAAATTGACCCTCGTACTCCGTGCCGTGGAATATAGTGCTGTACTCCCACATAATATGGAATATTATGGTAAAACTCATGCTAAATATGTTTTTAATAAGTAGGTACCTATGTTGTATTGTACTTATTTTATCGCCAGGTATTTGCTAAGAGTCGGGGTCTTAGTTAAAATCATTAAAACAGTATATAAACTACATATAATACTGATACATGTATATTAGAAGAGGTTAATAGAAATATATAAGCTAGGTATAACACTACTATAAATATGGCTACAGTATATGCTCAAGAAGTACATATAAGTCAGTAAATATGTACATAAAATGGGGTTAACGTAGTAATGGATTAAATTAAACGACTTTAAATCTTAGCTTCCATTGTGATAAGGCTTATTTTGAGTTGCATATAGATGTGAGATGCCTTGGTAGAGTATTGAAGTATCACAATGTAGAGGAACAATGCATTTTAGTCCTAAAGATGACACCGCCTTCGATTTTTAAAACTTTAAATAAAAACAAGTATACAGACATTATACATATGTCAATTTTGTATAAAACGAATAATATATTTAATAGGGAGTTAAATATGGAAAAAGCCTAATCGTGAGCTCAGTCTGGTATGGTATGATTGGTGACAGTCGTTGATGGTGGTATTTAGTCCTCCCAGTTTCCATAGATAGCGATGTCAGCGCCCGGGTAAGCCCATGGTGGTCGGCCAAGTGCAGTGGTGGTTGTGTTAGTGTCCACATCATAACTGTAATTGTAATGGGTCTGTTTTAGTTCTTGTACAAAAGTCTTATGTCAGTAAAAAATTATATTGCAGCATACTGTAAAAATTATATCCTTGCTTAATATTTTTGTCAAAATATCGTATTCGTTATTAATTTGACTTATTAATTTTTGTTTGATAATAAAATTATTCATGATTTCTCTAAAATATTTTTAAAAAGCCCTAAGATTAAATTAATTTTTGTAACTGAAACATGCAAAGGTTCTAAAGCGGATGAAAAATGTCGTGGTTGAAAAGGACAATCGGTTTAACGTCTTATCTGCATATGGGACACAATAGAAAATACATTGTATCTCGCGTATATCTATGTTCCAGCAAACCACGGGTTAAAGATCCTGTTTTATATAAGAGCTTGATAGTTGTTCAGTGCAGAACTTACCGTGTCTCCGCTTGACGATAGGTGGTGGTTGGGTTATAAGTAGTTTGCATTCGATTCCCGGATGATGGAGTTGAAAAGCCGCTAGAGGAGGCCACAGGTGGCAAGTTCGACTCATGCCATGTTAGCAAAGAATTATACCTGGAAAATGGTGACATTTGGTAGAACAGGTGCGGAAGATTTGGAAATTGTCTAATCTAAATAAATATTCTATTTAATCTATCTACTTGATAACTTGGGAACATTGTGATAAAGTGCTACGTTTTAGAAGTATAAATATTTTTAGCATTCCAAAATACTTTTAGTTTAATGCTAGTACCTCCAGTATTCTGTGAATTAGTGTGCATGGTTTAATTATGGACTTATACATACTTTATACAAACTCGATCGCCACGATTGCTAGTGTACCGAGCAAGAGGTAACTTGTCCAATAATTTGTTTGCTAATTAGATGTCAGAAATTGCTGACGATGCTTTATAGTGACAGGAAAATGGTTGCCCTCATTAAGTTAGCTACAATTTACAAATAAATTAAACAATACACACTATTATAGAAGACACTATTATAATGATTTTCTACTATAACCTATCTACAACAGATTCAAAACAAAATTTAAACTTACTCCATGTTTCCGTACAGTCCTTCGTTGCCATCTCCTTCAAAGATATTTCGGTCGCCGGTTGGTCGTGATTGGTGGGGGGAGGGAGGAGGGATCGTGGTGCGGTCCAGAGGGTTAGGGATCGGTGGGACTGCGACAGTATCATCAGAATCCTTTTTCTCCATTGACGAGTTAATAATGCCGTACTTGAAGTATACAACCAAGCCTGAAAAAATCGTTTCATTGTTAGGAACAGAAAATTAATGTATCTGAAGTGAACTTTGCATTTTTTCAACCCTATTTACCGGAATAAAGTGATATGATAAACAATTGACACTGCAGCGCAAATCGAACCTGTCCGTAAGGCGCCTACCACACGAGCAAGCTTGACCACATTTTTGCTTGTGCATGCTAACTTGTGTACTGAACACTGTGCGTATAGTTGGTAAAACGGTAGCATGCGCAAATACCAAGGCTAGTTGCTTGATGGTTTTCTAAATTTGCTTTTTAACTCGTCGAGTACCGTCATCATAGACACAATTATAGAACAATAGGTTGCGGTCACCGGTGACCGCTTGGTGTTTGACAGTTTAATGCTGCTAATTTGCGAATTTCAGCCACTGCCATAATTAAAATACTAGATATTTATGATACTGTAGAGTTCATAAACTACAAAGACGTATGAAGATAATACTTTGACTTAATTACGTAATTATGATTATAAGAATGTAACAAGTAACTTACCAATAGCCATCCAAAACGTGAATCGTACCAGGGTCAAGTATGAGAGATTTAGGATCAAGTAAATATTGACGATGATGGCAATCGTGGGCACGAAGGGCAGGCCGGGCGTGGTGTAGATCAGGGCAACACTGGAACATTTTTAATGAAAGTTTCAATTATAATTATCAAAAGTAATGTACTAGATAACAGTAGACAGATAACACAGGAATAGATTATATCTTTTTTCATTTTCAAAAGTTGATCTCCGAGGCTGACGTTACAGAATTCTTTTATTTATGTTAACTAACTTCTACTCAACAACATTTAGGTAGAAACTACACATAACATAATATCACGCCTTTTATCCCCGAGGGGTAGGCAGAGGTGCACATTCCGGCGCTTTATGCCACTGTGCAATGTAACACCCACTTTTTACTATTTATATTACGAGTCCCATGTGGGTGTGAGTCTATTGCCGTATATCGGGCACAAATCCAAAGTCCGTGCTAATACTGAGATCGTTTTAAAAACCCCAGTAATACTTCACCCGACCCGAGAATCGAACCAGAGACCCCTGCCCGGCAGTCACACTTGCGATCCCTCGGCCAATGAAATTGTTTTTCTAATTATCTAAAAATCTAATAGACACATAAGTAACTACAAATACAAAGCATTCTTGTATTTGAGATAGTCATGTCGTAAGATGTCTTACCGGTTCTGTGGGCGTCGGGAGATCATCAGCAGGATAGCAAAGATTCCAAAAATAAGCAGTAACATCGACACGTTGGTGAAGGTGGAGGTTCCAGGGCTTCCAAAAGCAGCAAATAAGTCGAATACAATAATCAGCAGATACATGACTCCTACTGCCTTGATGACGAACAATCCTGTTAAATAATAAATTATATTACGTATATGGATTAGATTTCTGAGTGTTATACATTTATTTAGAAAATGTACATATACAACACCACAGCTTACGCCATTAAGTTATACTGTAAATGTAAAATAAGTATTTATGATGATATAGGAAAACGAGCTATTGTAACTGAAACATGCAATTCTAATCTAAACGAAATATTGAAAATAACAAGTAACTTACCACTCATATCGGTAGCTGGTCCACAATCAACCCAGGGGAAGAGACCAGGGCACAAGTAGCTCATGGAGTGCAATTGACGGCCCAATGCGGTGAAGAATCGGCTGCAAAAGCTGGAATTTCCTGAAGATCCGGCGCCAACTGCATATAGATCACGATTGTTTAATATTTCTGGATGACCGAAAAGTCCTAGCTATATAATTAATAACTGGTTGTTCATCCTACTTCATACCAGTTCTATCTTTCCAAAGAACTTTGTCTTTTCAAGTTTATGATAAAATCGAATCTATTGATGAAGTTATACGGTTAGTTATGTTTTCAAGCTATTGCCATTACAAAAGGATCAAGTTATAAATATTTTTACTTAGGTTTTATCTATACAAAATATATGCATGTACGACCTAATACCGATATATTGGCGTATTCAAACACGATTTATTCTGAGGGCAAATATCTACGTTCATTTTCTTTTTCGTATCACAGGGGAAATTAAATGCGGATGAAACGGACGGATGAAAATTTTGTAGGTACCCACTTAGATATACTTGAATCGAGTTATTATGCGAACGTGGCCTACGTACAGGTAGCTGTTGTAAGACATCGTTGCCACTGATTTCATTGAAACCTTCAAGTAACGAAAGAGGAATGTAAATTAAAATGTGTATGTAAAAACGAACATGAAGAATTAGATTTTGGTATTTGCTACCACCAACTGGAATATCCCAAACTATGTCATTGACCAGTGGAAAATCAAACTGCTATGTCTGAACAAATACGAAATTAAAAGGATAAAGATTTCAATGGTCAAAAGCAACGTTTGATGCTGAAAAATATAAAAGACAACCGCTTTCACAAGTTAATCTGGACACCACATAATAATACTAGATATAAATAAGAAACAGTAACAGTTAAGAATCCAATAAATCGCATAGCAAAAGTATTCCAGAAGTAACAAGAGAAAAGGTACCATTTAGCAGCAACAGCGTGTTATAAAGGGTTGTTTGATTAACTACATACCGTAGTAGTTATTTTCAGGGTTGGAGCTGACCAAGAAGGCATCATCACGGTATTCTTCACTCTCATCGCCGGGCAGGGTGTCATCAGAGTCTGGTGAACTGTAAACAATAATAACTTAGAAACTGCTGACAAAATTGCTAGGGTTTGTCAGCAGAAGGTAAAAGCATGTATTAACAGGACATGTTTTTGAGACTATTATGTGAAATTGGTTACAGTTATAATTCTTGTTGATAAATGATCATAATGCTTTTTCAAGGCCTAATGATTGCTTCAGCAAATCACTTAGAAAATAGCCTTTGTACCGCGAAGCTGACACATATATTTGTAGAAGGGTTCGGCCGGCCTTTCGCTCGAGGCAAATTCGCAAGGCATTCGCAGTTAGCATGTTACCTTCTGGTGACTCGACGGACCATGACGCGTTGGCTTGGCATGATGTGGGCCGAGGCCTGCAAATGAGAGAAATAAATTAGTATTAACCTAAGAAAACTTGGAAAGTATACAAAATGTTTTAAGTTTCAACGAAAGTGTTGACATGTTTATATCTTAGAAAGTAGAGGAACTCAGTAAATAAGATAACTATGGATCAAAGTTTATACAAGTTTCCTTCACCTTCATTCTGTTAGCAGTAGTATAAAATATTACATTCCATACCTATAAGTATGTAGTTCTAACTTTATCTCAATAACTGTAGTCAAATCATCCAAAAACAACTTAAATCCTCTTATAGACCCTGGCCGTGAAAAGAAACTGACAAATTGTCCTCTCTACACAAATTCTTTATTTGTATGATAACAAAAGGAATATGAATGGGACAAATTGTCCGATCATAAATAAGCGTTGTAAATACATAAACGTACTGAATTAGCTACATATATACATCTTTGTCCAAAGGTCACTCACATATAACCGCAGTGGAGACATTGTGTTGTGAATAGGATAGGCCAAGGGCATTCATTCACTCTTGCCCTGATAATAAACTATTGAAGTTACCGTTTATAAGTTATCGTTCATATTCTTTCCATTTATTTTTTACATGACATGCCTGTGAATTGTATGGTATATGATAGGCTCACTGTGTTAAATTAAATAGGGCTCAAAATATTGCTATATAGTACTATATATATGGCATACCATATTATATATATGACCATATATTTGCCATAGCAAAATGTGGGTGTTACATTTTATAAGTACCCCTTTGCCTACCTCTTTGGGTGTTAAAAATCGAAACGTTACGTTACTTGCAGTTCTCCAAAGAACTAGACGTCGCTAATTCGCTTTTCTCCAGTTTTGATTTAGTATATAATAATATTATGAAACTCATAATAGGCTTACGCAATAATCAGCCTTTAATAATTAATTCGTAAAGCGTTATAATCTCGGGTTAGACTCACAAAGGACTAAGTACCTGACAGCTAAATAGTATGATTTATAATTCTGTACTTAACTAACACAGAAATAAGTTTTAATTTAATTATTGTAATGTTATATCACGTCGATGTCTATATCAGCAGCCGATGAGGATCCACTGCGGAACTACACTGTGAAATGTATTTCGTTTTCGCCCCAAAGTAAAATGGTTATGCCTAGGTAATACAATAGTTTTACAAAGAAATCAAATGTTTAGAACTAAAAATAACTGTCCATTGCAAAAAAAACATCAAAAACGCACACGCACATAATAAGTACATAATCAAACAGGGGCGTAGCTAGCGCCGTATCTGCCGTATCAATTATACGGGGCCCCCGGACTACAGGGGCCCCCAACGTGCCTAAGCAAAAATTAATAAAAACTTCCCAATTTTTATTCTATTACAGTAATCGCAAAAGTCAAAATAAACGATGTTTTCCCGCGTAAAGCATGCGTTCAAAGGTTAGCAGAAACTTAAGAAAAATTAAAGTTATTAAGATTTTCGGTTTACACAAATTATAAGAATTTTATGTAAAAAAATTCTATTGTGAGAAATGTTTATCGTTCAAGGGCCTCTAAACTAATTTTTATACGCCCCCCCC